CATGAGCCCCAGGTGAGCTGGTATAGCAAGTGGGAAGAAGTCAGGAACAGCACAGTTTGTCGTCTGTGTGTTCAGATGTTACAGAATCTTTGTACACTGTGTCTTGCTGTGATTGACGTAAAAAAAAAAGTTGGTTGGTCAATAACGAGGCAGGAGGTATAGGCAGAACTTCCAGGGACTGAGAGAAAGGAAGAGGAAGAGAGGATCAAGGTATCCGGGAGACACAGAGCAAGCAGGATGTGCAGGAAGAGAGGTAACAGCCGCGAATCACAAGGCAGGATGTAGTTTACTATAAGTGGGTTAATTTAAGTTATAAGAGTTAGGAACAAGCCTAAGCTATAGGCCAAGCTTTCATAATTAACAAAAAGTCTCCATGTCAGTATTTGGGAGCTGGTGGGACAGGTTACATCCAGAGTGATGTACAAGACACACAGCAAATACTGCTCAACACAATGAGAAAGTGGGGGTCAGGCTTGGGGGGGGGATCTGCAGTGACATCTTTAAAGGGGGAGCATTCCAACCAAAAGCCCAGGAGAAGAAGCAAGAGAACCCTTGCACAGTACTGGCAAACGTTCCAGGGGTTGGAGTGGAGGGAGCAGGTCTGCGGTGCTTGGCTTTCTGAGGTCTAAAAAAGAAAACTGCTCTAACACCTGGGACCTGTCAGCTCTGCCTCTGCCAGTCAACCGCTGTGCAAGCCTTTCAAGTCTCTAGACCTCTCTGGACGTCATTTCGCCGTTTGAACGCAAGAAATAAGTTTGAAAACACAACCTAGAAGCTGGTCCAACTGTGGCATCTGGGAGGAGGGGCAGGATTTTGACAGGCCCAATCGCTAAGAAACAGAGCCCAGGAAGCAATCCCCAGGGGTAGGGGGTGGGGAACACAGGCCACAAAACTCAAGTCCAGCCAAGGGAATGAGAGCAGAGGCTCTGATGCCCTGGCAGCCTTGTGACTGCCAGATGAAGATGTTCTGTATCTCCATCCCGTCTGCAGGAACAAAGCAAGGTGGCAGGCGCCCAGAGCGCTCCCTCACTCGCTTGCTCGCTCACTCTGCTGTCAGCAGCCCTCCGCCACTGCGGCCTCAGAAATAAATGGGCCCGTCAGCCACTGAGGAGGTGAACTCGGGCTTTGAGATGGAAATGAAGTAAGAGGGAACCAAGCCCAGAAACAATGCAGAGGAACGGAGGGAACGAAAATCTTCCACTGCAGCAGAGCAGAATGTTCGGATGGCGCCGGGGAGCTGACCTCGGATGCAGGGACCTGGGCGCAGAGCGGATGCCTGGGCGCAGAGCGGGTGCCTGGTCGCAGAGCGGGTGCCTGGGCCCAGAGGGGTTGCATGCACCTCTGTCACCTCGTCGCCCCTGTAGGAAGGACCCTGCTGTCTTCCTGTGCTCCCCACTCCCAGCTGGCAGTCCCCTGCCTCATATGCCTGCTCCTTACTGACTGCTCACCGACTTCAATCCTGAATTGAGGAAGGAGAGCCTCAGGCCTCTCCTCCACAGGGGAGGAAGAGAGATAGTGGCTCTGGATTAAAGCAAAGGAGAGGGCAGCTCTCCTCGAGTTCAGGGTTGGGAAGAGGAACATGTACACCCAGGTCCTCCTGCCGGCCTGGCAACCACAGCTGTGTGTCTAGCTTCTCCATCCTGACAATAACCCAAGGCCCCTACCCTGTCCAGAAGATAAGAAGAAAAATAAAAACTTCCTTGTGGGGTCAGAGATTTAAAAACCTTAGAAGAGGTTCCGTGACATGACTTGACCGGTAGTCGCTTGCTACCAAGCCTGATGACCTGAGTTCAATCCTCAGGACCCACACAGCGCAAGGAGAAAACTGAGTCTTGAAGTTGTCCTGTGACCTCACAAGCACGCTGTGGCACACGCATACCCGAGCACACCCACGGGAACACAAAAATAAACAAATCTAAAAACTGTGTACGTCTGAGAACAAAGGGTAGTATCAGTACCCGTCAGCTCTCTCGTTTTCTTTGTTTTCGATTTTTATTGTTTGCTTCTTTGCAAGATTTCTTTATTTTTTTTTTAAATTTTATTTTATGTGTGTAAGTGTTTTGCCAACATGTGTGTCTGTACACACAGCGTGTGTGCAGTGCCTATGGAGGCCAGAAGAAGGAATCAGATCTCCTGGAACTGCAGTTACAGATGGTTGTAAGCTGTCATATGGACGCTGGGAATCGAATCCAGGTCCTCTGTAAGAGCAACCAGTGCTCTTAACCTCTGAGCCATCTCTCCATCCCTGTTGGGTTTTAAACAAGGTTCCATGAGGTAGCACAGGTTGACCTGCAACTCCTAGGCTCAAGTGGTCCTCCTGCCTCAGACTCTCAAGTAGATGGGACTCAGGCTTAGGTCTTTCTTCTGCAAAGTTCACTCTGTATTCCAGTTACTTAGGGTTAGCTCCGCATGGAAAGGCAGACCACATAGAGTCAACTGAGATGAAACACCCACCTGAGTTCACTGAGACTGTATGGAGCAGGTTCAAAGCAAGCACCCTCATGTCCGACCTTCCTGTCCATCATCCTAACAGTTCTCCAGGCACTCCCTTCCCCCCCCCCCACCCCCTACACAGGACATCACTTGTTCAACAATGTAGATTGATCTCCTATCTTAAATGCCACCAGTGTCTAATCATTGTCAGAGACTTTTCCAAGGTAGTCCCCTCCAGAGCCTGTATGTCAAAAATCCAGTCTGATTAAGTCTCTCTCCCTCCACGTGTTACTGAGGACCAGGCAGGCATCTTCTAGGTACAAGAACCACAACCTCCCAGTGAGCTAACACTCTGGGCAGATCCTACCAAAGCATCCTGAAACACCTGCTGGTGATGGACTCGGGCCAGGCAGGTTGAGCCCCGAGGGCTAGAGCTGGGGAGGAAAACTGAGGAGGATGTGGGCTTCAGGAGTGGGGTTGTCAGGCAGAAATCATAACCCCAGGAGGGGACTGAGGGAAGCAGAGAGCTCTCAGCCGGTTCCTGAGAGAGGGCTTCCAAACGCTACAACAGCACTCTTTGGAGGAGGATTCTGTTAGGAGGGCCACGTGGCTGATGGCATCTGGGGTCAGCACTGGAAAGGCTCACCTGTCACAGGGCTCTAGAACATCATGTCTCGCCTCCAAGCCACCCACCATGCAGACCACACTCAGCACAGGATCCCTTGGGGCCATCTGGGCTCCAACGGTCATATGTCAGTGCCCCTTGGGGCTACAGATGTGGTCACAATGGGACTCATTTCTTGCCATGATAGAGGTCCCTAGGGGGTGTCTGTCAGATGATCCCATGAGAGAAACTAGGGGATGAAGAGTGGGACCCTCCCACACCTCTCAAACTGTGCTGCCAAGAGAGGGAAATGAACAGTTGGGGTGCTAGGAAAAAAAAATACAAGTGACATCCCTAAATGGCTGGGATCAGCTATGGATGGAAGTCTCTGTCCTGCTTGGTCCCTCAGCTGTTCAGTCCAAAGAACCAAACAGACACTTGAATAAATTATAAGCTGTTTGGTCTGTTGGCTCAGGCTTATTATTAACTAGCTCTTACAACTTGAAGTAACCTGTTGGAGTCCACCTTTGATAAAGATATCACTTACCAGGGTAGGGGAATGGGGGTTAGAAAAGTTAGTAAAGAGTATGAAGAAATGAGTGAAAATAATAAAACAGAAAACATAGGATAGTACCAGGAGAGAGTTCCAGTGAATATTGTGTTTAATTTCTATTTGCTTAAAATACCCCTGACCCCAGAAGGCAGGAGTAAGATTTTAAAAAAATGCATTAACATTATACAAGGAAATACCAGTTGAAGGTTGAGGGCTACATTTTTAGTTAAACATAATGTTGCTAGAAAGGGACAAGTGGTGCTCACACTCTAAACTAAAATATTCTGTAGGCAAACCACTCCCTGGGTGGAATCCAATGTTATCTCCTTAAGAGAACTGGACCCTTAGTTGGATCCTTTGACTTTTGTTTGAGGTAGAAACATATCTACTTCTCCATTCCTGAAATACAAGGCTGGATACTAGCCACACCTGTTGACAATAACCGTGAGAGAGGAACTCTCTGCTCTCAATCCGGTGGGACCTTTGTTTGAGGTAGAAACACAATAACCTTGAAGGGACAGAAGTAAGTTCCAACTCTCTGACCTTTGGTCTGTGGAATGGCAACAACTTTGAGCAAGCTGAAACTCTCTGACCTTTACACAAGGTGGAAATAGGCTCACATTTTTGGGCCTCCACATTAACCCATAATTCTTATCTATATTTAGCCATATATATAGCTTGGTACCTTTTCTCAGTAAGGCATGCTCATCTTGCTTCCTCTGCTTCTGTATGGTGACTGCATCTCTGCCTTTCTTCTTCTTCCCAGAATTCTCCTAGTCTAGTTGCCCCGCCTATGGTCAGCAGTGCCCAGAAAAAGACCCAGTGTGTCTGTTAGGGTTATAGAGGGCCTCTTGAATCATTCTAGAACCAGAGTTCAAGGTTAACAGTGCCATTGGGAGCTGTGTGTGAGAGCACAGGCTAGATCTAAACTTGTTCTCCTGCATCCAGCCCAGTCTTCCTTGCTTGTTTGCTTGTCTCATTTTTGGGGAGAAGGTGCCTCTATGTAGTCCTGGCTAGCCTGGAACTCCCTATGTAGACCAGGATGGCCTCCAGCTCACAGAGATCCTCCTGCCCCAGAATACCCAGTGCAGGGATTAAAGGCCTGACTGTCACACCTGGATATAGATAGAATTCCTTTCAAGGAACCCATGCAGAGACCAGGGAGATGGCTCAGGTGCTCTTGTTTCCCAGAACCCACAAACACAGAGCACACAATTGCCTGTAATTCCAGCTCCAGGATCTGATGCCCTCTTCTGGCCATTGTAAGCAACTGCATGTGTATATACATACAGATACATAAATATTTAAGATTTAAGGAAAATAATTTTTTTAAAGATTTATTTTTATACTAACGTAATTAAGAATATACTTTAAAAAAAAGATTTATTTTTATGTGCATTGGTGTTTTGCCTGTGTGCCATGTGCATGCTGCACCTGCTGAGGCCTAAAGAAGGCATCAGATTTCCTGAAACTGGAGTTATAACTGGTTGTAAGCCACCATGTGGGTGCTGGGAACTGAACCCAGTCCTCTGCCAGAGTAGCCAGTGCTCTTGACCCATAAGCCATACATATATATATGTACATATATATGTATATATACACACACACACGTGTATATACGTGTGTGTGTATGAAAAAGGGCCTAGGCATGGTGGTACCCACCTTAATCTCAGGACTTCAGAGACTGAAGCAAACAGATCTCTGTGAGTTCCAGGGCAGGCTGGTCTACGTAGGAAGCTCCAAGCCAGCCAGGGCTCAAGGGAAAAAAAAAAAAAAGAAGACTCCAGGCTAGAGCTGGGATGAAGCAAGGAGAAAAAGTAACCTTGTAGTATCTTTGAAAGAACTCATTAAGGAGAATCAATAACATCTCGATACAATTTTTCATTTGTTTGTTTTTCCAGAGCAGGATTTCTCTGTGTAGCCCTGACTGTCCTGGAACTCACTCTTTAGACCAGGCTGGCCTCAAACTCAGAGATCTGCCTGCCTCTGCCTCCTGAGTGCTGAGATTAAAAGTGTGTGCCACCACTATCCACCAGATACAATATTTTAAAATATCAAAATTAATGTCGGAAAATAATCCATGATGAGCTAAATGTCAAGTTTTCAATAACTAAGTAAAGGCATGTCCTTAAGGGACGTATCCTCACACACTGCCCACACCTACACCTGGCCTGCATGAAGAGGTCTCAAGATGACAAAGGAAATCTGTGGGATGATGACTTAGGGTAGAGGAACAGGGCTGTCAAGAATCAGAAGCGCAGAAAGGGGACAGAGTGACCAGAGGACAGAGTCTCCCAGAGCGAAAGGAACCTTGTCCTTCTCCCTGGCTCGCCTCAGCAGACAGTTGTTCCCTTACAGCAAGCTGCACCCCTCACGTTCCCAAATTAGACCTTCGGGGTCTTGGGCTCCAGCCTCTTAGAACTCACAAGTGTAATCTAAGTCTTTTCATCTCAGGCAGAGGACGGATAAGAACTTCAGACAGCTGTCGATAACCCTTGCTGCTTTGGAAAAACAGCCCAGACTTGGTGACTGCTGACAATGGCTAGTGGCTAAGAAGGAAAACATTCTTAACCCGCTGACAGCAGCAACCTTTTAAGGCACGCTCTGAGGCATGCATGTCCCGAGCCTGGAGGGGAGTGCTGTTTGGTTTTCAGTGTGAGTTAAGGTTTGGGGGGGTTAGTTTGGCCTGACTTCGGCTCTGGCTTTGCCATCTACCATGGGACTCTAGATCTGCCAAGATGACCTATACCAGCTCTGGCTCCTGGAGGCGGGGCAGTAACTTCAAAGTAGGCTGAGAAACAAACCACACTAGTATTGCTTCCTTAAAGATGCTGGCTAGGGAGGCAAGAGGGCCAAGAGTTCAAGTTCTACCTCAGACGTGTGTCAAGTTCAAGGTCAGCCTGGCCTTCAAGAAACCCCGTCCCAATAGTCATTTTTTTAATTACATTTTAAAAACAAGCATTATGATAATGGTGCACACCTGTGATCCAGCACTTGGAGGCGGATGACGGAAGGACCTGAAGTTCGAGGTCATCCTTAGCTACATAGCAAGTTCAGGGCCAGCTTGAGTCACAAGAAGCCCTTTCTCCAATGAATAAAAACAACAAAGAATGCTCGCCAGAGCTGCCAGCTTTTCAAAAGAAAAAAAAATGTCATATGAAACCTCGGTCTTTTAAATGTTGGCAATCAATTTCAGAATTATTAAAACTTAACCCAGGAGAGACAAATAAGACAGGGATTTGTGCCATAGCCGTCTGCCGATCAAGTGTGTGCCTGTTCCCTGCAGGTCACACCGAGCTCAGCAAGCCTGCTGGCCCTCATCTCTCCAGAAAGCCTTCTCCAGCAGCAGCAGCGGCAGCAGCATCCTTCTCTGCAGGACAGCTTGGGCAGTGATGCTTCTTAGGAGGGTGATGGAAGCAGGGAGAGCTGAGGATCTGGAAGGCTCCACAGGAAGGAGGGACTGCAGAGAGGGATTCCTTAAAAGGATTTAGGAGGATTTCACTGGACCTGGTGAAGCACAGCGGGGATAAAAATCATAAATTCACCCCTGAGAACAGCCTGGGTCTGAGACTAGGTGGAGGTGGGGGTGACAGGGAAGGAGGGAGTCTGCCCCTGCTGTTCCGGATCTCCTCTGCAAGTCACCCCAGCACCAGATCCAGGTGCCTGGTGTCCTGACAGGCCCACTCCACAGGCAAAATCCCTCCTCCTTCAGAGGTGGCCACTCCACAGGCAAAATCCCTCCTCCTTCAGAGGTGGCCATGAGAGCCCCTATTCCTAAGCATAAAGGAAGTAGCTTGAGCCTCACAGCCCATCTAAGCGTTTCTGGTGAGCTCTAAGGAAAGGCAGGGATGGGCTGAACTGAAGTCGTCAAAATCTCAGGCCAGGGAACTTGCTAGAAGGGCTGCAAGCAGAGTATACTGATTTTGAAGAAGTCTCCGGAGGACTCCGACCACAGGGAGACTTTGAGAACTACTCACATCCTGGTCCTGTGGTCCTCCAACGGGACAGCAGCTGACTTGCTGTGGTGACCAATTCTGCTGTCACAGGACAGTCCTGTGTCCTCCCACAATCCCTGAAGAAGCTACTGTTCAGTCCAGCAGTGTGGAAGCTGCCAGTCGGAAGGAAGACGGACAGCACAGTCATTGCTCTGGTGGAGCCTGAGGCTCAGAGGAAAGCAAGAAAAAACGGAAGCACGGGTTTTTCTACTCAAGAAGGCAGGGGCCCGGTACAGCACCTCTCCTTAAAGACGCTCCTTGCTGAACACCTGGTAGAGTCATGCTCTCAACATGGGACCCAGGACCACTGCCACGAGGGTCCATACAGCCAGCGAAACTTTACGCTGGCCTCATTAATCCCTCCAGCATACTGCCTCCAGGTCTCTGCAAACAGAAACCTTCGCTTTATGGCTGAGTAGGGTCTCTGCAAATCTCTGCTCACCGCCCAGTGTTCTGGCCCATCCTCTAGAGCCCCATCTTTGTCCCATCTGTAGCCTTCCCTCCCTGGACCTCTCCCTATTCCCGCAATCCCCAGCCCTGTCTCTCCTGGTGTGGCCTCTGCAGAAGCTGGGGAGTTCTCAGGGCAGGTCCTTGGCTCACTCTCTGACTCTGCCATCTGTCTCCACCCACCCTCTGAGTGAACCCAAAGCTTACGCCCCAGGGCCAAGCCTCACCCTCTGGAATGAAGCCCCAGAAAGACTAGGAGCCCCACTCCTGAGCCTGGTCTCTGTGTCCCTCCTGCTTCCCTGGCAGAGGAGAAAGGACAGAACCAATCAAGAGCCTCAGGAGCCCGCCTCCCACCTAACCCCAATACCTGGTGGAACTTCTACCAGCTCAGAGACCTCCGAAGTCCACCCTGTCCTCCCCAGGCTACGGAGTACAGGACCCAGAGACAGCAGGACCAGGTCCCAACGCCAGAGTCCACCTGGGACAGTGGGCAACTAGAGCATAGGGTCACTCTGGGGGCACAAGACACCCATTCTTTAGCTATGGTGACACTGCAAAGATGGTGCAGGCCCTGGGGTCGCAGGGGCAGGAAGGTTCCAAGGTTACCAGTGGAGAAGGCACGTGGTATGGCTGGTGTGGTCCCCTGGAAGGCGGTGTTTAGGTGGAGTGCAGCATGGGGTTCTCGGGCTGCCAGGCATGAAGTACCCTCCAGACATGACACCCGCAGCGCCTGCGGCAGTGTGGGGAGAGGTCCACAGCCTCGTGTGCCCTTGGACCTTTGAAGAGACAAGACAAAGCGCATGGCATCCCCACGATAAAGACCCGCGTGCGGAATGAGACTCAAGTCCTGGCAGTCACTGAGCTCAGGGTGAAAGAGAGGCGCGAACGTCCCACGATCACCGTGAAAATGCGCGACTGGAGAGGTTACTGCGCCACGGGCCAGGAGCCTCGGGAGGAGGAGCGCTGGGACATAAAGGCCACCACAGGCAGGCAAGGGCCTGAGGGGCGCAGGAGAAGGGGGAGACCAGGATGAAGAGAGGGCGACGTTGTGTTCCACCAGGACCCGGCACCCAAGAGGGCTCCACGCCGGAGGGGTCCCGCGGTGGCTTTATCCCCACCCCCTCGCCGCCCGCCCCTCTCTCCGCCCCGTGCACAGTCCCCTCCCTCCGTCCCGCCTCCTGCCCCTCCACCTCCCTCAGCGGCTGCTTTGCCGCGTTGCCGGCGCACTCGCAACCCAGCGGACACCAGGAGGCAGAGGCGGGACAGCCTGGGGTCCGAACGTGAAGTCTAGCGGCCCCAGGGCTAAAGTTTGCCAGCAGCCCCGAGAGACCAAGCGAGCGCTACGCGCCGTCTGCTGCCCCCCTCTCGCATCCTCATCCCGGCATTGCTGCACTGGGGGACCGAGCTACGGCCGGGCCAGCTCCAAGGCGGGCACGCCGCGACGGAACTTAAGGTGGGAACTTCGCGGGCTGCTCTCTGGCGGGATCCTGTTCCTGCAAGAGACACTCCGGGCTCTGCACGTGGCCACAGCCCGGGTGCCTTCTGCGGATGCCTAGGATCCCGGGAGAGGCCGCCGGGCGGTGAGGGATGCGCCCACGCGGCCGCGGTTTGGTCCAGCCCCGGATCCTCTCGAGGGGTCCCCGGGACGCAAAGCGCGCTCTCTGGCGGGGCACCGGAGAGCATCCTGACTTTGCATGCCGGGTTCTTGGGGTCCCCCGGGAGGAGTTCGGATGCAGGGTCGTCTTTCACTTGCTGGTTCACTGTCTGCAGGCACGGGATGCAGCACCCCCACCAGTGGGCCTCATTAAGTCATTCGTTAATTATGAACTCAGCGAGGGTTTATGGACTGCCTACTTGGTCCGTCCTTGTTCCATGGCAAGCCCCTGGGGACAGCTCAATGGTCGTGGGCCTCAGCATCTAGTAGGGAAGTTAGGGGTCTCCTTAGCCTCAGGGTACCCGTGCCTAAGTGGCCCAGCTTTGCTTTTGGGTGTGAACAGAAAAGAGACAAATGCGCTCATTCCCTGAGTTGTTCGAAAATTGGTTGGGCACCTACTGTGGACAGCTCACTATAGCAAGTACGCGGTGTTCATTCATTCATGTTTATTTCAGCAAGCCTGTCTTAAACAATGACCAAGATGGAGACGGGACAAGATAGGGGCAGCTCTCCTGGGGTTTAGGTAGAGGTTGAGACTCAGGCCCTGCCTTGGAAGTTCACAGCCTGCCAGGGTGGCCAGCAGTAGCAGCCATGTGTATAGATGCACGGTTGGTGCATAATCCATTCGTTCTTAATGGCGGAGGGGGGGGTCCTGGAAAGGGAGAACTGGGCTTTTCAAACGTGGGGGGGGGGCGATGAGGGCCAAGAAGGTTTATCTAATGTTAGGTGAACACAGCCTCCTAGTGATGGGGTTCATGAGCTAAGCCATCCGTTCAACACACATTTTCTTAACCACTTGCAATTTGGATGTACTTAAAGGATGCCAGGCACCAGAGTTCCCCAAGTGGATGATAGGTGGGAGGCAAAGGCATATTCACCCCCTTCGGTGACACCTGAGCTAAGTGCAGAGGAAGGTGAGAGGTGGGGGCAGGGAGTGGTCTGATTCACTGGAGAAGGGAGGAAGTGTCTCTGTAAATCTGGGTTCCTATTCACTGGGGTCTGTTTGACACCCCCACCACACACACACACACACCTGTGACCACACTCTATGAATCACTGTAGGGTGTCTCACCAGTAAATACACCTCCAGGTTAAGGGGTGCCCCTGGAGATTAAGGCAGTGGGGTGAGCACGGGGTGGTGCTTCTACCTGTGGGTCTTTAAGCTTTTGTGGCTTCGCCAAGGCACCTGCTGGGTGGAGGGGGAGGGAAGCCAAGCCAGGTGTAGAGGCATAGCCCCAGGGGATTGCTCTTACCAGCCCAGCTCTGAGCCAACTCATTCCAGTGGAAAAATGTCTGCCGTGGGACACAATCCAAACCCACAGAGGACCAGCACACCGAAAACAAGACACCCTGAGCCTTTGCCCAGAGATGGAGGACCCAGGCTGTGAGTGGCCTGCAGCCTGATGAGGTAGACCCAGGAACCACATTGAGTTTTCTGTACTGGCTAAGCTGCTGGACTCTGGCAAGGGGTGAGCCACCTGCCCCAGGGGACATAAAGAAGAGATGTTTCCTGAACACCAGGGGCTCACAGGGACTGCCCTTCTCCAAGAATCCACTGTAGGTTGGTTGCCTAAACTCAGAAAGGAACCTCTTCCCCCCCACACACACACACCTGAAGAAATGACGGATGATAATATGACCTAAATAGAATTAATTTAAAAAAAAAAACAGACGGGGGGGATACAGGAGGCTGTGGGAAGCCCTGGTCTGTTTACCTGGCAGACTGTCCTTAAGAAACAGGATCAGCATGTAAATCTGCCACAGGACCTGAACGACGCCTAAAGTTACTCCTGTCTCAGGCCTGCACCTGCCCCAGAGGACAGACACAACATGCTCTCCCCCTACTGAGCCCTGCGAGCAGCTTCCTGTCTGGCTCTTCCCCAGGTCCCATCACTCCTCTGTTTTAGCCCATGTTTCCCGATTTCTAACCACAAAGAAACAAAGATAAAAGACGGCTAGGTTGGTAGGTAAGGCAGAGGACCTGAATTTGATCTCCAGAAGCAGAATCAAGAACAGAGACAAAATGGGCTTAGGTTCCTGGGCTGAGGAGGCAGGGACCCATAACAGATGGTCTCCGAGGCTCAGTTGTCTGCCAGCCCAGAGAGAGGCCCTGACTCAAAAACAAGTGGACAGTGACAGAAACAACAGCCAAGATTGTCCCTTTGGACACACACACATGCACACACACACACATACGTACACGAAGAGGCTAAAGGAAAAGGTGTCCTAGCCCCAGTTCTATAAAGCTCCTGGGAGAAGACAGGTGTGCACCAGGAGCAGAGCCAGGTGGCTAAACAGACAGTCTGTCCGCTTGATTCTGGGGAAACCAGCTTTGCCTTGTGGTTCGGGTGAGGAATGAAGAAAGGAACCCACCTCCCATCCTGTAATCCCCCAAGGACTTTGAACACCTCCTTCACCCCCAAGATGCAAAGCTGAGGTCTGTGGGGACAGAGGATGGATGGCAAGTGTCAAAGACACTCAGCATTGCTGAGGGGAGGGGGGCAGCGTGCAAGGCCCAGGGCAGGCTAATAGCTGGATCTATTATAATTAATGGTTTAATTGGGGGTGAAGGCAGCATGACCAGCCCCTGAGTCAGCCCAGCCAGGAGCCCTAATCCTGACAGATGAGGCTCACGGGAGAGCCAGGGAAGAGATGGAACAGCGCCTCAAGTCCCCACTCACAGTCCAGAAGCCAAAACCAAGACACCAGGAGCTTAAACAAATACCCTAACTTCTAGAAGTTTGCCCAGGGGTATGTGTTAGGCTTCTACTTTCATATGTTAACGCTGAACAGCAGAGAGTTTGGGGAAGGTTAAAAAAGTGTGTCTCTCTGAGTAAAAGTAATGCATCTTCCCGGGAGAATACACTCCCCTGTACCTTCTCCAGCTCCTAGAGGTCTCCTACATTCCTCGCTAATAACCCAGCCTCACTGTAACCCCTGTAATCATGATCACATCTCTGGAGGCCACAGTGGTGACCCAGAACTCAATAAAAACAGGGACTCTGTTGGTCCTCTGCCCTGATCCAGTGTAAATGCTAAGATGATTGCCATTCTCAGCCTCCAGTCACCTGCTTCTCCCTATCCCCCAGACCCTTCCTTCTACAGCTTGCCTTGTAGAAACAGAGGTGAGGTCCAGTCCCTGGCTTCCGACAGCCGGTGGAAATGACATTCATCCCGGTCCCCATAAGGATGCAGGAATCCAAGGTGCCTGGGCTATAGCCCCACCGACCATTGTTGTCCCTCACTGCCAGTCATGTGTGCTTACTTTACTGAGCCTCAGTTCCCCCATCGTGCCTTTTAGGACAGAATGCAAGCGGCTGAAGTTAGGGCCCCAGCATCACACCTTGGTGCCTAGTGAGTGTTATGTGGAGAGAAGTCTAGCGTGTCACCGTTTAGGGACAGGTGAGGTTTAGCACTCTGCACCTACCTTTAAAAAAAAAAAAAAAAACTGCCAAGAGTTCCTCAGAAGGGATGAGCTAAAAAAGCAGAGGACAGACCAGCAGCTTCTGGAATAGCCCCAGGAGGGATCTTAGGGATCAGAATCAACACACAGCAGTTTATGGAGCCCTTTCGTGAGATGACCGTAGGATGGGGGCTCAGGCGAAGGCTACAGAAACCTCCACTCACCGGCCCTCAGAGCCACTCTGCATGACGCTATTGCTCTCATTTTGAGGGGCAGGAGGCAGCTCTGGCTTGAGTGCTGGGCCTTCACAGAGCAGTGGCCATCCGTAGCCATCTTGTTCACTGCCACTGCTCTCCCCAGATCCAGGCCCCACCCCTTGAGCTCGTGCCCTGAGCCCGTGGTGGGCCTAGTGCCACTTAGAAGTCTCCCTCTGAATTAATGTTTATCTTCGGAAACACTTGCTGGCCCTCAGTCAGCTCACCGCTCCCAGAGTGCTATTTTTCTTCCAGGAGGAAGGACAAGAAACAGCCTCGGGCTTGCTGTGGGTCTTCGGACTCCTGGAGACGGGTTGGAGGCATCCTGAAGGGAGGTGACCGGCAGACAGAAAGGGGAAGGGCAGTCTCCACTTCTGCAGTGAAGCCTTAGGTGCAGGGAACTGAGCAGTTGGGCAAGAGGCTCCTTGCAGCCCTGCATGTGTGGAGCCTTCCCTCCTGCTTCTCTCTGGAACTTTAACATGATGGCTGTTGCTCAGGCAGCCAGACAGGCTGGTTCCAGGGCCGAGGGAATCTCAGAGGGACACCATGTTCTATTGTCCCTGCGGAGTACCCAAGACCATTCCTGAGCTGGGAGCTTTATGCGGCTTGTGCTTTTTGGCTGTTGTGGGACCCACCTGCTCTCCTCTGAGCATGCTTCCTCCTTGACCAGTGCTGGGTCGTCTCCTATTCTCTATTTCTCCTCCCTTCCAAGCCCCAGGCTCGGTCTCCTTCCCTCTCCCTCCAGGCACCACCATGTAACACACAGATCCTTCTGTGTTTGAGTCCTAGTCGACGTAATGTGTTCATGCACATAAACAGCCCGACGCTGCAAACTTCTGCTGTTTCTCTCACGCTCCGCTTACGTTTTAAAGACCCAGCTGTGCCTCCGATCCTGCCCAGACCACAGACATTGCCTCTTCTGTCCTCCTCCACCAAGACTCACCAAACCGGTCCCTTCTGGATGGACCCTGGAAACTTCCCACTGCCACAAGTAAAGGGGTGACATTCTTGTGTCTTGCTCATCCCCGAGGTCAGATTTCCATGAAGCAGACCCCCCAATCAAAGATTCAAAGGTGGATAATTTGTTGTCGGTGTCTCCCTTCACCTCTGTGGCCCCAGAACTGGGAAACGGACGGACGCCGGAGCAGGGTTCTTGAGCCACAGGGGAGCAGCATTCCTTAGTGTCCTTAGCCGTGCAGGATGGCCGGCCAGACGCCTCTCCCTCCCTGGGCTATGGAGTCAGACGGTGCCGAGTTCAGATCCTGGCAGGTCGGTTCAGGGGAGACGCCCTTGACTCGTGGGCAAAGGTGGGTGACAGACACTTCTCAGAGCTAAGGCTGAAACGGCAGGCACTGGCCAACCACATCACTCATGTCATGGCTTCACCGTAATTCAAGTGAGCAGGAACTGTTCGTATCTCCATCTTATAGATGCAGAAGCCCGAGGTCATAGAGCAACCAGCCTGTTTCCAAACTAACGGATTCCCCTCTGCCCTCACCCCAACCCCGGGTAAGCAAATCATCTAATTGGCCCCTCGAGAGGGAGGCCCAGCCCAGACTCAGTCACATCTCCTGTATTTATTACCGTCTCCCACTCCTCCTCCCCCTCCTCCTTCCTCTTCTCCTCCCTCTCCTTCTCCCTCTTTTGTTCCCTCTCCTCTTTCTCTCTTGTTCTTTGACGAGGTCTTACTACATAGTCCTGGCTGACCTAGAACTCACTACGCTAGCCTTACATTCACAGAGATCTGTCTGCCTCTGCCCGCTGAATGCTGGGATTAAAGGCGTACTCCATAACGCCTGGCTATTTTATATTTGTAATGCCTCGAACTGAAGGGTTTGAGATAATCCACACTGATATAGCCTTCTGGCTGTGGAAACCATGTGTTTAAAGGGGGATCAGATGACTAAAACTAGGGGCTGGCAAGACCGTGCCCCTTTCTGGTTGTTCAGAAAATACTTGACTTGCATGTCTTCGCCTCTGGTGGAAGCCTGAACTCATGGCTTCCAACTCCCCCTCTGTCCCCAAAGCCACTGGTAGCCTACAGGTTAGTACCCTTAGTGGCCTTCCCCATCTGCAGCCTCAGGCACTCCTGGCTGTGGAGTGCTCACCAGGTACAGGAATTGGATATGTGTTCCTGGGGTGACTCTCATATGACTCCTGTGACATCTGTCTGCACTGACCTCTGGGGTCTGATATGGGGGCCACTTCAATAGGGGGCCGAGCTCTGGGTACTGTACCCAGGTCAGTTCACACAGTCGTCAGAGCACACACTGATCAGGTCTGCGCTGGCGCTCTGACACCTGCCCGTGAGATACTGCATTCTGCTGTCTCCTACACTTAAGTCATATCCTGCCCTGTCCACCTTCCCTGCCTGTTGTCATTCACGCCTGTCTCAGCGCCACCTACCGGTCGCCTCTGTAAATGTCATCTCTGCGATCACCCTCCTCTCTAGTACCTTCCCTGGGGCCCCACCCCTCAGTAAGTTCTGCCTATACTCTGCCTCCAAGCCCACTGAAGCCATGCCAGTCCCAGTCCCGTCTACTTTTCCTAACCTTGCTCTTCCCACTGTAGTCTCTTGCCACCAAGTCTACCCCTGACCCTGACCACAAAGCCCTGCCTCACATAGAATAAACTTAAGCCGTTCTCTGCAATGCACACAGCCTCTATACCTGAACCTGCTGACCTCCAAATGCATCTCCCGCCTCCCTGCCCCTTCTCTGCCCAACCTCTCGACCTGACCTTCACTCTTGACCATCCAACCCTGGCTGTTCCCTCCACCCAGAGTAACCAACCCCAGGAATGGTAAGACTGACTGCTTCACCTGCATAAGGCCCTGCCCTGTGTCCCATCCTCTGAGAACCCCCCACTCCTCCAGACAATGTCACCAGCCCATAGTCACCCCCCACCATCACCCGGTTCCCACTTAACATGTCAGTCACTATATCCTGAAGTCGCTGGTGCACACATGTGGGAACCATGTCCCTCTGGGGACTATCAGCTGAATGAGGACAGAGGCAGGATCTAGGTTGCTCTCTGATGTATCCACGGACCCAGCATAGCATCTAATATACGGGAATATTCAAGAAGGAATGCATGGCTCCTTCGCAGCCCCTTTTCCAGCCAGCAGTCTCTCATGAGCCTCCATAGCCCCCAGAAAAAAGTCACACACACACACACACACAATCCTTGCAGGCGGCCTAACTGACTATCAGTGAAAGGAGAGACCTGACCCTTGGGGAGGGATTGGGCTGGAGGAAGCAGCATTCGTGTGCAGGAAGCTGGCTGTGGGCCTGTTTGAGGAATGAGCTTAACTCTGAAGTCTAGAAATGCCAGCTATCCTCCTGTGCCCATCAGATTAGGTATCTGTAGAACTGCAGCCTGGGAGAAGTGTTCTCAGTTCCTCCTTCAGCTGCTCAGTGCTTTGACTCTCCTCCCAGTGAGCTCCGACTTGGAGGAGACCGTATCTCCAGTGCTCATCGGCCACTCTGGTCCAAATAGCCTCTTGGGACAACTCCATGTGAGAGTCCCCACTGTGATTAGGGGACCCCAAGAGATGCTAATGGGGAGCCTCTGCCCAAGAGAAAGGGGGAGCGCAAGCGGCACTCCTCGAGAGAAGAGGGCTCATGAAGGTGCCTCGGAGGAAGCTCCTCTGCTTCCAGGCTGTTCTAGCCAAGTAGAACACAGCTTTCCTCTTGGTGGCACGGTAAAGTGGCAGAGCTGAGAATCATGGCACTGTTGAAACTTAAAAGGGATTGTTCCCACGCCTCTGAGGGATCCCGGCAGGCTTAGCCCGAGGACATGGGTTCCAATTTAGGAAAAGTGAAAAGCTCCCAGCCGCTCTACAAGGCAGGCATTTGCCTTCAAACAGGTGTAGCCTAGTTTCCCAAAACCCCGTCTGTGAAGCTACAGCCTTCCCCAAAGATGAGGGAGTGGGGTGGGGCTAAGGCCCTGAGAAGAAACTCCTGGAAACAGGCACCTTGAAGTGAGCACTCTCCCTGCTTGGGTTCCTGCTGTGCACCCTTGCAGGGGAGGGAGCTCCCTAAGCATCCTGTTCCCATGGAATTCTCCGATATTGGAAATGATCACCTCCACCGGCACCGCTTGCTTCCTTCAGGGACTGGAAGGAGACGATGGTTTGATTTGGTCCTCCTGTAGCTAGGACTATTTTGCTATGTAGTAGTGCAAAAACACTGCTCCTTCTGAGCAGTGGTGGTACACACATGCCTTAAATCCCAGCACTCAGGAGGTAGAGGCAGGCAGATCTATGTGAGTTTGAGGCCGGGCCTGGTCTACAGAGTATGTTCCAGGACAGCCGGGGCTACACAGAGAAACCCTGTCTTGAAAAATAACAAAAAACAAACAAACAAACAAACAAAAACACTGCTCTTGTCTTCAAAAGGAAGAAGAGACAGTTTGTTCTGAAGCCAAATCTTAGTGGTCACAGCCCAGGATAACAGATTGATGTTTCCCTAAATAGCATATTCCACTATGGAAACGGTTGGATGAGGTCTTATTAGTTACAGGACAGAGAAATCAAATATTTACCTATGATAATTTTTACCAAATGATTTGCGAAGTTATTGCCAAATGATTTACCAATGATAAATCAGAGTATTTGCCAAGTACAGCAGTGGGAGCCACAGGTAGGTGGGTCACAACAAACCTAGTGGTCTGGTAGAAAGCTATTCTAAGGGCTGGACAGTCACAAGGAGATTAGATCAGACACAGTTGTGGGTAATGAATGGCTTTCAAAGGGACTAAAAATAACCCAAGATCATTTGGTTCTGGTCTGCAACATTTTAACGATCCATCATATTCCAAGTTCAGTCATTTTGCCTCATAGAATATTTAGCACAGGTAAGCCTCCCCTGCCCCTCTGTTTCTGTCTCTCTGTCTTTTTTTCCTCTCCTTTTAGGAACGTCAGTTCATATTAGTGAAGAACAGTCTTGTTGTTGTTGTTTTTTTTTTTTTTTTTTTTTTTTTCCGAGACAGGGTTTCTCTGTAGCTTTGGTGCCTGTCCCGGAACTAGCTCTTGTAGACCAGGCTGGCCTCAAACTCCCAGAGATCCACCTGCCTCTGCCTCCCGATTGCTGGGATTAAAGGCATGCACCACCACCGCCCGGCGAAGAACAGTCTTAAACACACAACTATCCTTCCTCCACCTCCCAAGTGCCAGGTTCTTCAGTGCTGGGCTAACCCTGGGCTTCCTTCATGCTAGGCAGGCTCTCTACCAACTGAGCAACATCCTGAGCTGTTTGCTTTTGTTTGTTAAGACGGTGTCTCTGTGGACTGGAGAGGTGGCTCAGCAGTTAAAAGTACTGGCTGCTCTTTCAGAGAGCCTGGGTTCAATTCCCAGTATCCACATGGCAGTTCACAACCATCTGTAACTCCAGTTCTAGGGGATCTCACATCTCTGCCGATACCAGGCACTCATGTGCATGCATGCAGGCAATACACTCAAACCTGTGGTATATATATACCACAAGTGGTGGTACATGCATTTAATCCCAGTACTCAGGAAGCAGAGGCAGGTGGATTTTTTAAAATTCAGAACCGGTCTGGTCTATAAAGCAAATCTCAGTACAGCTAGGGCTACACAGAGAAACCCTGTCTTGAAACAAAACGTGTCTCTAGGGCTAGAGAGATGGTTCAGCTCTTAAGAGCACTGGCTGGTCTTCCAGGGAACCCAGGCTCAATCTCTAGCACTCAGATGGTGGCTCACAGACAGTTCATTATTTCAACTCCTTTGTGGGCACTACACACTTGCAGTGTAGACATGCATGCAGACAAGACACCCATTCATGTTCAATAAATGTTAAAAAAAAAAAATACTGTTTCACTACATAGCCCATTCTGGCCTTCAACTCAGTAATCCTCCTGCCTCAACCTCAACCTCCCAGGTGCTGGGATTACAGACATGCATTAACAAACGCAACTATGGATGGTGATCTTAAGAAGCCAAGTGTTCCCTAAGCATTATAGTGGAGACCTATAATTCCAGCACTCCTGAGACTGAGGCAGGAGGATCACAATTCTGAGGATACTCTAGGCTATGTAGTGAGATTGGGAGGGGGCAAAATATGAAATCTTTGCTTCTTTCCTATGTGTTTAGTTCTAAAAAGGCCTTTTGGGTGGCCCCAGGTCTCAAATGCCTGTATTACAGGAAGGAAACGGGAGCGGAGTAGAGCAGGCGTAAGGACTGTGGGGAGCGGCTGGGGCTGCAGGAGACTAGAGCCAGCCCGAAAGGCACAGCTATGTCTCAACTGGAATTCTGGCCATGAATACACAGTACATGAAGTTTCTCGATTCTCAGAAGTATTCATGAGCCGAGCTGGAGACGGTGAGCCGTCTCCTTCCCTGGGTGCAGACCCTTCACTCTGAAGCTGGGAAGGAAGGAGTTTATAATTGCTGCTTTTCTGGCCTGTGTTTCATAAAACTGGCGCATGCTGTGGCCTTATCTGTAGCGCACCACGCCCGTCTGCGCTATATGTGCTACCATTCAATTCCTGAACCTGGCAAAAGGCTAGAGATTGAAACACACAAAGACATACAGAGACATAGGTCATCCTTGAAACAGGAATGCCCCAAGAATGCCTCCTTGTGTCCAGGGGCAGCTTATATAGGGATAGCCATGCCCCAGCCAAACCCACCAGAAATCACTCCCCTGCCATCAGGAACTCCTGAGGATCTCGTGCTCAGAGCAGCTGCAGGCTGTCTCAGAGCAGAGGAAAACAAGTTGTTTACAAGAAATTCAGGATCTGGGGTTCATAGCTCCCAACACTTATTCACACAGTAAACGCTCTCCTCTAGCAAGTGGGTCTGGGATCCTTTACACTGGGGGGTGCGGGGGTCCAGGGATGAGTCAGGCATGTGTACACCCCCCCCCCCAGAACAGACGGCACCAGAAGGATACAAGCTTGCTCCAGAAGGATACAAGCTTGCTTGCAGATAATTGTAAAACTGGACCCGGTGGGGCTAAGAAGATGGCTCAGTGAGTAAAGCACTTACCACTCTAGCATGAGGATCTGAGTTCAGTCCCCAGCACTGAGTAATAAACCAGACATGGTGACATGTGATTGTAATCCCAGCACAGGAGGATGGAGGCAGCCAGACCCCCGGGCTGGCCAGCTAGCCTGACTTAGAAACAGCAAGTATATCTCCCATCTCAAAAAAAAAAAAAAAAAAAAAAAAAAAAAAAAAAAAAAACCCTGCACATTACAGTATATGCTTCTGTACACATGTGCATGTATACATGCTCATTCCACACTTGTGTGCGCATGCACACACACGCGCACACAAAATGTATTTTAAAAAGAAAAAACATGACTTTGAATGTGGCTCAGTGAATAAGACTGCTTGCTCTGCAAGCATGAGTACCTAAGTTCAAATCCTACCTCCCCTGTGAAAAGCCAGGCACAGAGGAATGTGCCTGCAGCCCAAGCACTGGGGAATGGAGAAAAGCAGATCACAGACACTGGCCAGACAGCTGAGCTGAAGCAGCCAGCAAGCTTCTGGTTCAGTGAGAGCTGCTTCCTCCGGGCAACAGGGTAGAGAGCCATGGAGGGGGACACCTGATGTCCTTCTCTGGCCTTAGCATGCATGCACATGAGGGCATGTGCACACACTCGCATGCGCGCGCTCACACACACACACACTAATTTAAACAAACCGGGTCAGATCTATTCTGAAGTACCAAAGGCTTCCTGGAGAAGCCAGTGTTGGCTCTGTCCTGTCCTCTTCTGGGGTCCTGAAGATAACACTTGCCAACAGACAAGCAAACCAGGCCCTGTTTTGGTAATCAGATATTTCTTTGTCCATTGCCTCTCATGTGCCTGCTGCCTGTTTGTGGAAAGCCTTACAAGGTGTTGAGATAAACACTGAGCCCCTGGCCCTTGCCGGGCATTTAGCCCTTCCTGATCCCCTGAGTGGGTCACAGATTAAACCCATTTCACAGATAAGTCACTTACCTGGCTGGCTCCAAAATCTGTCACTCCGATCCCAGGACTTTTCTCCTCAGCATGAAGGATATTCTCAGCCAGATTGCTGGCAGGGCTGGCATGGGCACTGTAATCTGTTGAGTTAGCTGCCTCACTGGCCCCTCTACTGGAAGCTAGAACTCCCCGCCATACCGTAAGTCAAAGCTACCTCAGACATTGCCACAAGTTTCAGTAGGATGAAGTTAGCTCTACCTGAGAGCGACTGGCCCCTGCCCAACTGTCCTCAGCTGGGCCAATCTGTTCAACGTTAGCTACCCAGCATGCACCTGGGCTCATCTCCACCACCTCACATACTAGACACTAACCCAACCCCAGGACCACTCTGGCCCTCATGGATCCCAGTTACCTCAGAGCCTCTGCCTCCAATTCCCAACACCAAGAAGTTAAAGACTCAGGCTGGAGAAATGACTCAGCAGGTAAAGGCTTGTGGATCAATTCTGGTGCCAGAGTTCGCTCCCCAGAGCCCATATGAAAGTGGATGGAGAGAACCAACCCCACCAAGCTGTCCTCTGGTTTACACACACATTCACACAGCACACAAACACACCCACCACTACGTACAACAATAAGTTTTTTTGATATATAAGTATATTATATATAATATACATGGGGGCTAGAGAGGTAGCTCAGTGATTAAGAGCACTGGTTTCTCTTGCAGAGGGCCAAGATTCAATTCTCAACACCCACAAGACAATTTGTGACCACCTCTAACTCCATTTCTAAGGAACCTAATGTCCTCTTCTGGCCTCCTTAGGTACTACACACATGTGATTCATATAGACAAGTAGGCACACACTTACACATAAATAAAAATATTTAAAGCCCACAGTAGCAGCTAAGCAGTGGTGGCACACACCTTTAGTTCCAGTACTCAGAAGGCAGAGGCAGATGGAATTTTGTGAGTTCAAGGCCACTCTGATCTACAGAGCAAACTCCAGGACGGCCAGAGTTACACAGAGAAACCCTGTCTCAAAGAAAGAAGGAAATCAAAAAAAAAAAAAAAAAAACCTCCACAGCAGTGGTTTTTTTTTAAATAAAATTAAAAATATATATTTACATATTCTTTTTTTTAAAAAAAAAAGTCAAGGGTTTCAAACCTGTGGCCTTTGGGACCCAGACCAAGGAAGTCTTTATTTTTTTTTAAGATTTATTTATTATGTATACAGTATTCTGTCTGCATGTATGCCTGTAGGCCAGAAGAGGGTACCAGGTCTCATTATGGATGGTTGTGAGCCATCATATGGGTGCTGGGAATTGAACTCAGGACCTCTGACAGAACAGCTAGTGCTCTTAACCTCTGAGCCATCTCTCCAGCGCTGGAAGTGTCTTTAGAATCGTCAGTGAGGGACTCAGCTAAAACTCAGAGTTCACCAAAGGTCTCTCTTTCCCTCCCCAGGCCCAAGAGGGATGTAAAGCCCCAAAATGACCCTGTTACCAGGAGATAACTCGGACTATGACTACAGCGCCCTGAGCTGCGCCTCAGACACCTCCTTCCACCCCGCCTTTTTCCCTCAGCGCCAGGCCATCAAGGGCGTCTTCTACCGCAGGGCCCAGCGGTTGCGACCGCAGGATGATCTGCATCAGGGCAGCTCACTCGGGGACCGCAGGCGACAGATCATCATCAACGTGGGTGGCATCAAGTACTCCCTACCTTGGACCACGCTGGATGAGTTCCCACTGACGCGGCTGGGCCAGCTCAAAGCCTGCACCAACTTCGACGACATCCTGAGCGTGTGCGATGACTACGACGTGACCTGCAACGAGTTCTTCTTTGACCGCAACCCCGGGGCCTTCGGCACCATCCTCACCTTCCTGCGGGCTGGCAAGCTGCGGCTGCTGCGGGAGATGTGCGCCCTGTCCTTCCAGGAGGAGCTGCTGTACTGGGGCATCGCCGAGGACCACCTGGATGGCTGCTGCAAGCGCCGATACCTGCAGAAAATAGAGGAGTTTGCGGAGATGATGGAGAGGGAGGATGAGGACGAGCCGCTGGACAGCGAGGACCAAGACACTGAGGGGCCATCCACCGGTGAGGGCCGCCTGGGCCGCTGTATGAGGAAGCTGCGGGACATGGTGGAGAGGCCACACTCAGGGCTGCCTGGCAAGGTGTTTGCCTGCCTGTCTGTTCTGTTCGTCACCGTCACCGCTGTCAACCTGTCTGTCAGCACCCTGCCCAGCCTGCGGGAGGAGGAAGAGCAGGTAAGACATTCTGTGACTCCCCTGGGCCGCCTTCCCTCACTGTGCTGATTGAAGAGCCTTGGTGGTGCCTGGCATCATAATGTGTGGCTGTGTTTGCATCTGTCTTCTCCGCCTCCCTCCTCGAGTCAGCAATTGTGACAAAGGGAATCAGTGTCCTGTGTCCCCTACTCTCCCATCCTGCGAGATCTCAGCCTCTTCTGCAGTTGCGTTGAGTGAGGGAGCGAGCGAGCAAGGCCCCCATATGCCCACCTCTGAGCTGAACTAAATCCCTTCTTCCCCCTCCCTCTCTCCCTTTTATAGTAATATCCCAAGCACTTTTCCTTAGCCATGAAAACTATTTTTATCCGTAGGTCTGTGTGTATGTGCATGTTCCCACCGGGTTAGCATGTCTCTGTGCCTCTGTGCACAGTAAGAAGCTGCACATAAGACATTGACTCCCAACCTGACACAGGCTACATGCTCCTAAAAGCCATGGGAGCCAGGGGGAGGGCAGGTCTCTGCCCTCTGCCTCCATCTTACCTTCCTGCAGGTCTTCCTGTCACCCTGCAGGGGACGAGTTCTCACACCCACAGCAGATGAGCACATCGGGGCAAGTAGAGCAGTTTGCTAAGTTTGCGTTCATGGAACCCCCAGCCGAGGACCCAGGATAACCCCATAGAAGTCCATGACTGCCCTACACTGCACCTCCCCAAACTGGACTTGGTTGAAATCTTCAGAAGTACGATGTTCTCCATATAAAAATGTGCACTAGGCTTTTCTTAGAGATAACAGAGAAATGTCTTTGGTGAGAGCTGGGCACATGGGAGTGGTCCCCTAGTGAGTCTCCTTACCTGTAAAACCCCTGGGCCTTTGAGCTGTGACTCCTGCCCCACACATGAAGGAACAAGGTACACATTGTATAGGCATTTGGGCGATAAATTGGATCTGTTTCTGGATCGATCTTGTGTAGCCCAGGGTAGCCTTGAACTCACAGAGATCCATTTACCCCTGTCTCCCGCGTCCTGGGATTAAAGGTGGGAGCCACCACTCCTTGTACTCTAGTGGCTTAGCTTTGCACTCTGATCTCTTCAGGCAAGCTCCATTTATTAAATACAAATAAAATATCACCACAAGGGGGCTGTGTGAGAGGCCTCCTATACATACCTGGGGCTACTCAGGTGGGGTGCACTCCAGGAAGGCTTCCCGGAGCAGGAGGGATTCCCACCCCCAGAGACTTGAGACATTAGAGTCCCTGGGGTCAGATCACATTCCCAGGCTGGGGTGCATTTGCAGAAAGACAGACTACAAAAGTCCTGTGAGAACCTGGCCATGATCGAGACCCTTCAGAAAGTCGCCGGCTAGAACATCTGTAGCTTTCCAGGGCTCAACCTCTGGGGGGCTGTGTGCTAGAAGGATGCTGGGGGGGGGGGCGGTCAGGCTGCCTAAATTTCATGTACTGCAGCATCTGTGTCCTGAATCAATATTCCAAAGTAGAAATAAAGACTAACAAAAAGAAAGAAGGAAGGGCCGGGCAGTAGTGGCACACGCCTTTAATCCCAGCACTGAGAGGCAGAGGCAGGTGGAGCTCTGTGAATTCGAAGCCAGCCTGATCTACAAAGCAGATGACAGAACAGCCATGGCTGTTATACAGAAAATCCCTGTCTCGAAAAAAAGGAGAAGGAGGGAGGGAAGAAGGAAGAAGAAAAAGGAAGGAGGAAGAAAGGGTGAGGAGGAAGAAAGGAGGGAGGGAAGAAGAGGAGGAGGGAGGGAGGAAGAAAGGGAGAGGAGGAGGAAGGAAACTTATACAAGACCAGGGAGCACCAGCCACTGGGCAGGTCGGATTACCTAAACTGAGGAAAGAGAAAGGCCCAGAAAACAGGAACCAGGGTGGCAGCTGCAGAGGAATTTGTCTGGACATCAAGATCGACAGCTAGAGCCATTTCCCAGGGCCTGGTGGCATGGAGAGGCAGGAAAGGGTGTCCAGTCCAGGCCAGAGCTTCCTTCCCTGCTGGCTTGCTGGTGTGACCCCTGCCCTGTGTCTCCCCAGGGCCAGTGTTCCCAGATGTGTCATAACGTCTTCATCGTGGAGTCGGTGTGCGTAGGCTGGTTCTCCCTTGAGTTCCTGTTGCGGTTCATCCAGGCACCCAGCAAGTTCACCTTCCTGCGGAGTCCACTGACCCTCATCGATCTGGTGGCCATCCTGCCATACTATGTCACGCTGCTGGTGGATGGCGCTGCCTCCAGCCGCCGCAAGCCAAGCACCGGGAACAGCTACCTGGACAAGGTTGGGCTGGTGCTGCGCGTACTGCGGGCACTGCGCATCCTCTACGTGATGCGCCTGGCTCGACACTCACTGGGGCTGCAGACGCTGGGGCTCACAGCCCGTCGCTGCACGCGCGAGTTTGGGCTTCTGCTGCTTTTCCTGTGCGTAGCCATTGCCCTCTTTGCCCCACTGCTCTATGTCATTGAGAACGAGATGGCAGACAGCCCCGAATTCACCAGCATCCCTGCCTGCTACTGGTGGGCCGTCATCACCATGACAACTGTGGGCTATGGTGACATGGTACCTAGGAGCACACCTGGCCAGGTGGTAGCTCTGAGCAGCATCCTCAGCGGGATCCTGCTCATGGCCTTCCCAGTCACCTCCATCTTCCATACTTTCTCCCGCTCTTACCTGGAGCTCAAGCAGGAACAGGAAAGGGTGCTGATCCGCAGGGCCCAGTACCTCATGAAAACCAAGTCGCAGCTCAGTGGCATGTCTCAGGACAGTGACATCTTGTTTGGAAGTGCCTCTTCAGACACCAGGGATAACAACTGAGGCAAGAGGACATCCCTGCCCTGCCTGCCAGCTGCGGCTTCATGCAACCACCGTCACTATTGAAGCCTGGAGGAGGACTTTTGTGCTTCAAGTCCAGCCCTGGCCTGGGACTGACCCGAATGAGCCACGCCACAAGAAGGATCTGTGCCACATCACCCAGAGTCCTTGCCCTCCCTCTGAGCCCAGAAGTGGAAGGGAAGTTAGCTGAAGCCAGCACCTCACCCCCTCCCCCAGTCTCGCATCTGTTTCCCTCCCTCAGGAGCCAACTGGCTCCTTCCAGATGTAAAGAACACGCCCAGCAAAACCTGCACACACAGGGGGCTGCCCAGAGAAACATCCAGACAGCAGGCGGCCGCACATGACTTCAATGCGTGTCCACTGAAGAGGAAAAAGCCTTCCATTAGGGCTCTCGGGGAAGGAGCTGTGTCTTTAAGTGAAGCCAGCAGTGGGGTACCAGAAGTGCAAAGACCATGCTGCTGGGGTGGTAAGACACTGGTGGGATGGAGAAAAGGGGACAGACAGACCTTTGGGGGGACCAGCACGAATGCAGTCTCAGGCTCCTGCTGCTCCTGACTCCCGAGCCTGTCCTTCATCCTCTTCCTGCTCACCTCCGCCCTGTGTCCTATTATACTCCTTGAGAACCAGCCCTCTCTTCAGACTCCCCTCGTGCCAGTACGGAGTGGGGCATCATAAGCCACTCAACTCTGCTTGCTGACTTTAAGGGTGAAATCACTTCGTTTTATGGTTAAAAAGAAGTGATATTTTAGCCTACCCTGATTTATTTTAATACTACAAACAAAAAAACCCCAAGCACTTTATCCCCCTACCCGAGCCTCAGTCTAAACCCACAGTGGCTATGCTTCCAGCAGGTGTGGTCCCGGGAAGTCTGGGGAGTGTGCAGGAAACCTCCTCGGTGCCCTCAAAGGGAGCCACTCATGGTCTCGAGACGTATAGTTTCTGCACCAAGAGGGACCCCGTGCCAGATTGATGAATCCATCTCAGCTCACTGTGTCTGAGTGTTGGGTACCTGGTATTGAGGGGATGTCACACACACATCCACATATACAAACATACATGCACACACGAACACATGCACACACACGGACACATGTGCACACAGGCCACACACACTTGCCCCCAGCCTCACCGGTGCAACACCTTCTCTGACTGCTTTATCCCATATCCCAGCTGCCTTCTCTCTGTTCAGCAGCAGAAATTGCACTTTGAAACATGACTGATTCTGACTGTGGGCTGTGCAGCTCAAATCCCTGCCTGCTGCTACGGCCTCCAGCTTCTCCTACACCCCCACACCTGTCCATACAGCCCACCAGCCCTCCCACACCTCCACACCTGTCTGGACATTCCACAGGCCCCTCCACCCTCCCTTCAGGCATATCCAGCCTGCCCCATCTCATTGTGGGTCTTCACACCTGCAGAGCCATCTGCTGGAAAGCCCTCCCTACAGAACACTGCCTGGCTAACTCCTTCCTGAGCACCTACCCCTGTAGCCTGCAGCTTCCTCGCTTTCTCCCTTATCTGCTGAATCTCTACCAGGTGAAACTCATTCTCGGCTCCTGAGCTCTGGTTCACGTCCTGCAGGACCAGCTCAGTGTATATTGGCAGGAACTCTAAAGTGGTTCCCTGCTGCCTTCCAGGACCTCGTGCAGGGGCAGCACCTAAGAGGTGTTCAGAAAACACTTTTGAAAAGCAAAACAAAGGGGAAACAGCAAAAAGGAACAGATAGAGAAAATGTATCCATTACAGTTTAGATCCAAAATGTCCCCAACTGTCTAGAGCCATACTGCCCCAAATGTGCCTGATCTCATCTGAAATGTCACCCAGAAGTGCACACGTCAAAGACTTGGTTCCCCATGCAGACAGAGGTGGGACCCGTGGTAATGGTGTCACAAGGGCTCTGACCCCACCGACGGCTCAACCCATGATAAATCCACAGCTTCAGTGGAAGCGATAGAAACTCAGAGGCGGTGGGGCCTGGTTGGAGGAAGTAGATCATCAGGGGTGTGTCGCCCCAGATGACTTCCCCTTGGTTTCTCTCTGCTTCCGGCTACAGTGAGGGGAGCAGCAGAGTTGGACCAGCGTTCCCCTATTGGGATGCTGCTGTACCTCGAAGTGGGCCAGAAACGATGGAGCCGAATGACCATGGACTGAAACCAGAAACCAAAGTAAACCTTCCCTCCTTCAAGCCGCCGTCGTCTGGTGTTTTTGTCATAGCAATGGAAAGCTATCTGTCACTGTGTTTATTTTTAACACTGGAGCTTGGGTCCCTGGAGCACCCCAACACACCTCCTTTTCTCATGGGGAGACACAGCCATCTCCACATAGCATGTCCATAAATAGGCAGAGTGGAAACACCATTCAAACCCCGAGGGCCCCCCTCAAAACTCCTCTGTCACCTGCTCAGACCTGCAAAGCACGGTTTCCTAGTTAGCACCACCTTCCTTGACCCTGCGGCGTCCCAGCCCAGCTGCTTCAGGGCAGCACCCCTGAGTGGTGGGGTGCCCTTCCCCCCTCAAAGATGGCTGTGAGAAACGTCTAGGAATGCCCGGAGCGGGGTGTAGAGGGAGCCTTCTCAAGTCTGAGTGAGAAGAGAAATTGCTCGGGAGGGGGACCCTCAAACTGAGGACAGGGCCGGGAGTGTATAGAGAAGCTGAGGGTCTTTGGCTGGGTCTCTAGCCTTACCTTGCAGATTCAGCTCTGCCCTGGTGTGATAAGCTGATGCATAGATTGGCCACCATCCAGGACCTTACCTGAGGATGAGAGGCTCCAGATTCCACCAGTTATCACAAAGAGAACTCAGGCCTGAACTAAGAGACAAGGCACCTAGGACACCCAGCAAACTGTTCTGGAACAGAGGCCAGGCATTTTGTCCTCTTAGCCAAGGACACACTGTCTGTGGGCCTTCTGGGACTGCAAGGCAACTGAGGCCAGACCCAGGTGAGAGAGATACATTGGTCCTGTGTGACCTGGTGACCTTACCTCATCTGGCCAGGCCTCTGTGCTGACCCCATTGGCCCTGTGTGCAAACTTGGACTCTCGAAGACTTTAGAAGACTTGGCATCAGACCTCAAATCAATCCGCTGTCAGTCTCTAAGTCCCATGATTGTCCCCACTTGGGACATGTCAGACACCTCAGAGTCACAGCAGACAAGAGCAGAATCCCAGCTCTGCCTCCAAGGGGCCCAAGACCAAAGTGAGGTGACTGGGTACCTGTTTCTGACACCAAACAGAGGTGGAAGGACCAGAGGACCCAGCTACCGAGTCTCAGATACTCCAATGCTTCCAGCTTTAGAATCCAAATGCTGCCAAAAATGCACAGTGAGGAACATGTCAAGATTTTACATAAAATCAAATCTGACTTCAACCTCCCCCACACTTGCTCCCATCCTGTCCCGATGCCCTGATGTACCCAGGTGAGACACTGTTATGTAGCCAGAGCCTGTCTCCATGAGGCACAACGTCCGTCCACATCCTTCTAGAAGAATCAGCGGAGCAGCACCTCTGTGCAGTCCACACTGGGAACCGAGGCCTGGCCTTTGTGAGGTTCGCACGGTGATAGGGAGAGAAATCGTCACTATGCGAATTTGGCAGAAAAGAAGTTGGCCATTGGTGATGCTGGTGACTTCACAGAATGCCAGGGTCGGGGGAGGCAGAACACATCCCCTTATGTGTAGTCAGGTAATTTGTATAGTCTGTAACCCTGACTTCCAGAGGCTGGAACGGAGGCATGGTCTATCCAGTGCCTGCCTGGGCTCCAGGAGGACCTCCAAGACCAACCTGAGAACACTCTGTAAGATTCTGTTGCAAAGTGCAAAGAGGGTTGGGGTAGTATCTCAGGTCCACAGCATTCCTGATGCCCCAGCATTTAGCTTTAATACCTCAAAAAAAGTATTTTTAGATGTGTGTTCAGAGAAGGACTCACAGAGGAGGTGGCAAGAAATACAGACAGCAGCAAGTCAAGCTGAGAGAAGGGTGGGGGTCATTCACCAGCCTAGAAGAGGGCTGAGGGCAGACACCACACACACACACACACACTGCTGGGCCTCCTCAGGCGCCACCTTATACAGGCATCAGGGCCTGGCCCCTGACTTTCTCCTGCAAAAAGGCCTAGCACCCTCTGTGTGCTGCCCCCATTCCTCACTATCTTCCCCTTGCCTCTTCAGGTGTCCTGCCTGCTTCTGTCACCCTCTCCCAGGTCCACCCATCACCTCCCAGCTGAGGTGTTGCAGGCACCACCTCCCTGGCCTCCCTGTTTCCTCTTTCTTGTCCTCAGCCCTGCAACCCAGGGACCCTGTCAGGTCTCTCACATATGTTCAGAGCCCAGCCCTGCTTGGCATGCCTGCCCCTGCCTGTGACACACACACGCACACACGCATGCATGAACACACACACACACACACACACACACACACACAGAGTCTCTGGGCACTCCCGCCCCTGCCTGTGACACACACACATGCACACACACCATCTCTGGGCACTCCTGCCCATGCCTGTGTTACACATACACACACACAAACACACACACACACACACACACGGTCTCTGGGCATTTCTTCCATTTTGGTTACACCAGCTGCTTCTCTAGTCACCAAAGACCAAGACCAAGTGCAGTCGCCACTTCCTGGGTCTCAGCCCCCAGAGACAGTCATTTTCAAATCCACCTCCAGAACCCTGAACCAACCACTTCCTGGGTGAGGTAGCCACCCCAGCACACAGTTCCTGTGCCATGTGCATTAGAACCAGGCACCAGGTGGTTAGGGACAGTCCCTCTGACCCAGAGACTGCTGAGATTCCTCAAGTAGGTCAGTTCCACATCTGCCCACCTGCCCTTCCTCATCTGGTCCTCACACAGACACTACAGGGAAAGCCCCTGACTGGGCCTCCTAACTGCTGGCATCTCTCTGTGCCCCTCCCCCAGAGGATCATGCTACTCTCCAGTGACATGCTCTCTACCCATGACATGCATGGCAGGCTGACATGCTGTCCTCACATGCCTGTACTCATATATTTCATGGTAGAACCCATGGCCTCACACACGCTAGACAGGGGCTCTACCCCAAGCTTCACTTCCGTTCCTCTTCAGACAGTCTCACGAAGTCCAAGTGGGCCTTGAACTTGCGATTCCCCTGCCTCAACCTCCAGTGACCCTAGGATTACAGGCCTATATGACCAGGCCCGGCTTAAGCCTGGCTTTTAAACACCTCCCTAACCATCTCTAAAAAGTCATGCTACCAAATAAGATATTGCACAGTTGTTTATTTGTGACCTTTCTGTCCCCCTTGATGCTCAACCCCTTGAAGACAGGGAGTTTCCCAGAAGCCCCCTGTGTGGACCAGACCAGGCCCAAAAGCACCGGCTGGATACCTGAGCAAACAACCTCTCCCAAGTTACCCCGGGATTCTGCTTGGAGACCAATTCCACCCCACGAGGGTCACTGTTCTTCAGCTGCCTTTTATATCCAGTCAAAATGGATGAGCAGATGTTGCGGGGCTCGTGTCCCCCCAAGTTCCTAACTTGCTTTTCAGAAAAGAACACAGTGTTTACCTAAATGACAAGTAAATGTCTGGGCTTGGCTGGAAATAGATTTAAAGTCACCAACTAGCCCTGCTTAAAAGAAAAAAAAAAGGGGGAGAGGAGGGTAGAGGTGGAGATGGGGAAGAGGAACAGAAGCAGGGGGGGGGGAGGGGAGAGGAGGTGACTGGCTCCGGAGGTCAGGTGTCTTTGCAGCTCGTACTGTGTCACACACAGTACGTACACGGGGCCCAGAGAGGAACACCTGTCCTCAGAGACAAGTCAGGCTAGTAGGTGACTTGAGCTTATCCAGAGAGAGAACACAATAGGAAGCATCTCGATTCGGAAGTTTAAGGGAATGACACACATGGGGTGATGACCCCCCACCAAGGCACCCGGGGACAGAATTCCAGGGGAGAGAGACCCATGAGATCGCAGCCAGGCTTCCATCCTCTGGCCTCAGCTGGTGGTCTGTCTGTCCCCTGCAGAGTTCCCAGAGAGGGCTGTCATTTCACACGTCACCACGGTGCTCACTCAGGAATGGCTCGGTACCTTCAGTTTCTGCCTCGGAGGGAGACCCCCCACTCCAGTGTGCCCAGGACCCACAGAGTCTCCCAAGCACTTCATCAGGGTTCACTTCCTCGCGCTCACACCAGCAAGGTAGCAGGGAAACCAGGAGAGTGGGTTTGGTGTCTCTCCCTACAGACAGAGGCGCACCAGCGAGTAGGCTGATTCCTTTCACAGATGAGACTAACAAACAAGGGCAGTGCTACCAGCACATGATCCTTGGGGGTTGTTTTGTTTTGTTTGCTTTGGGTTTTCTGTTTGTTCAGTTGATTGGTATTGTTTTCTAACAGGCTCTCGCATAGCCTTGAAGTTGCTGTGCTGGTGAAGCCAGCCTTGAACTCCTGATCCTCCTGCCTCAGTCGAGAGCCACCATGCTCAGGTGAAGTCCAGTTCTTAAAAACAGACTCTGTCTGCTGGCATTGGTGATGTGATGAAATAAGACAAAATGTGACAGGCCCAGCAAGAGTGTGGTCCCCAGGAACTGCGCATGGAATAGCAGATCTCACCACAATTTTTTTTTTGGGGGGGGGGGGGACAGGGTTTCTCTATGTAGCTTTGGAGCCTGTCCTAGAACTCACTTTGTAGACCAGGCTGGCCTCGAACTCACAGAGATCCGCCTGCCTCTGTCTCCCAAGTGCTGGGATTAAAGGCGTGCGCCACCACTGCCCAGCATCACCACCATTCTTAACTGTCCTCAAGGAGCAGACAGCCACAGCGGAAGGTCTGGTTCTGGTCAACTACCAGCAGGCAGACTGGGGGGGGGGGGGAGTTCTGCTTCAGCTGAGCTTTCATGGCACCCTGAAGGCTTTCACACATGCTCCATCTGCCTGCACCCCAGCTGCTAATTGCCAATGCATGTTCGCACCTCAATAGCAGACTTGGCAAAGCAGCCCGAGAGCTTTTCATTAGCACTTAGAAGACAAGCTGCTTTGCCTCCTTTGCTCAGCCTCCAGGTTGCATCCTCCTTCCCCCACGGTGACAGTCAGAGTCCAGCTTTGGGTCTTCCAAGATGCTCCCTTCTGACCCCAGGAGACATGGAGTCTTGACTGTCTCTCCTCTGTGAGGCAAAGCACGGTGGTATGAAGGGCTGGATGGCCCTCTGTCTGTCACTCCCGAGCTAGGTGGCCTTGAGCTCGTTACTTAACTCCTCTGAGCACTGTTTTTTCTCATTTGGAAAACAAGAGATAATTGGCTAGATCTGTAGTTTGGTTGGCAGAGTCCTTGCCTAGAGTGCATGAAGTTGTAGG